CCAGAATTCCGACCTCCATCGATGATTAAGAATCAGGGACACTGTCTCGTTTGCCAAGGCATCAAAAATCAGATGGGCTGGACACGTAACGAGATTTGGAGACGACCGCTGGACTAGAGCCGTTACCGACTGGACTCCACGGGACGCCAGAAGACTTCGTGGCCGCCCACCTACCAGATGGTCAGACTTCTTCGTCAAGACCCTGAACGATTGGTTTGAGGCTCTTCGTGTTCCTAGAACGAACAGATGCCATTGGGCTACACTAGCACGCAACAGGGACAAATCGAGACGTTACTGGTGCCCGCTTGAACAAATCGATGATTAACGGGAAGTCAAGTGGTCAAGTCAAGTGAACAGTGCAGCAATGAACATAGACATACAGATATATCCCGGAGAGGCAAAAAAAGTACATCCCTTCTAAACTTATTAAAATGAAAAGTTGGTAAATGCATTTTCCTATATCCAAACTATAAGAATAGGAATTCCAGGCTTGTAGAAGGCCTCAGGTTCAATTCCTAGCATCTCCACTAAAACCCAAAAAACAGTAGGAATGCCAAAACATTGTATATAAGAAGTCATATGCTTCATATGAAACTGAGAACTAAAGAATTTATTTGCAAAATAACTGCAGAAACAATTCCTAAAACATTATTATTTATCTCCATATCAAAAATTTCTACCTAATTCCCAAGGTATCTTCTAATCCCAATAACTACAAACAACCCCTTTCTTCATCTTACAGAGGAATCAATAGCAGTTTAACGATTAGTTGATGAAATATTTACAGTAATATTTCAAACAAGGTACAAAAGAAGGAACAGAAAAGCAAACTAAATAGAAGACAGTCCAAAAATGAAATTACACACACATACAAATGTGATATATAATAAAGTTAACATTCCAAACCAATAGGGAAAAGTGAATTATTTAAAGGTATTATCAGACATGGTTGGCAATTTGGAACAAAATAAAAAGCTGAATTCCCACATCACTTATTACACTAAAGTAACTTCCACAGGAATCAAAATTCAATATGAATTATATATGAAAAGAGAAGGAAACACCTACCTAAATATAACTACATACAGAAGCTGTAACAGAAAAGGTCAGAAAGAATATGTAAAAAATTAGTATTTTAGTAAGGCTTAGAAAAACATTAAAACAGGGAATGAATACAAAGACAACTTGGAGGAAAATTATTTTTAATAAGTTTTATAAATGGACAATTATCTGTTATAAATAGCACCAAGAAATCAATGAGACAAACAAACAACTGGAAGAGAAAAAAATGTAGACTATAAACATACAAAATCACTCAATCTCATAAATTATAAATGCAATTAAAAATACTAAGATAGCATCTTCAAAGCCAGAGAGATAGCTCAATAGTCATAAGGAGGGCTGAGTTAAATCCCTGAAACCTTATGGTCCCCCAAACATCACTGGAGCAACTCCTGAGCCTGGAGCCAGGAGTTGTAGCCCCTGAGCAGCACTCCCAGGCGTGTCTCAAAAAACAAAACCAAAAAAAAGAAAAAAGCCAAAAACCATTTTAAGCCAGTAATACTTAAAGATATAGGGAAACAGACATCTTCACATACCATTGCTAGAAATGAAGACTGATATTCTTTTGAAAGGACAATTGGCAGCAACTATAAATAAAATATGAAAATACATCTTGCTTCAACATTTGTAAGCAAAGTAAGATATCATCTAACTTCTAAGAACAGAGAACGGGTAAGAAACTGAAGTATAGTACTTCCACATATAGAGAATGTAGCAGTTAATGTTCAAGACATGTTTTATATAAAAGATGCCAGAGATGGTAGAAAGGTTAAAGTACCTGCCTTGCATGCAGCTGACACTGGTTTAATCCCTGGCACTGCATAACTGACTGAGAATTGCAGGCAGCAGTCTCTGAGCAGAGAAGTAGGAGCAGCCTGTGTAACTACTAACCCCCATCCAACTATTCCCCCAAAGTAGAGAAGAAAGCTTAGTATTCATATAAATGCTTTAGTATTCATATAAATCAAAATGAAAGATATAAAACAAATGTTCATATTAGTATACAACTTTTTTGAAGAATAGAAATTTAACATTGGTAATTCAAAAAAAAATTTCCTTTTTCTGTTTTAATTTTTTTTTTTGGGAGGTTGGGGTGGAGGTGGGCCATACCTGGCTGTGTTCAGGGTTTATTCCTAGTTCTGTGCTCAAGGATAACTCCTGGCAGGGCTTGGAGGACCATTCATGGTGCTGGGGGTTGAACTTGGGTTGGCTACGTGCAAAGCAAGCACCATACCTGTTGTACTATCACTCCACCCCCAAATAATGGCTAATTTCTTGAAAGCATGACAAAAATTAAAGAGAAGCATTTACTTTGGTTATTTTTTAGTAAGGGTTACACCTGATGGTGTTGGGGGAGTAGGGTAATAAGGTGTTAGTAATCAAACTGAGGGTATGACACCTGGAAAGCACAGCCTCAGGTAACACACATGGTACCAAGGACCAAACTGGGGTGACTACAGTGCACAGCAATGAGTAGTTCAATGAGTAGTTTCCCTGGCTCCTCACTCCTATCATCCTCATTAGGGTCACGGTCCTCCGTTGTTCATCCTCCATCGTGAGACTTGTTGTTACTGTGTTTGGCATACTGAATACGTCACGGGTAGTTTGCCAGGCTCTGCCGTGCGAGTGAGATACTCTTGGTAGCTTGCCGGGCTCTCCGAGAGGAGTGGAGGATTCATCTTCATATCAACCATCAATTATTTTAAAAGAATATAGCACTAACCCATAATCATCTGACAATATGTAAAGTGGGGGAAGTAAAAAGGATCAAGGAAAGAGACACTTCAAGTCTATAAGGAGTCCACTCTCAGCAGTGCTCAGGCTATGGGTATCTAATCCAGGGCTTTGCATGTGCAAAGCATGTTTTATATCATTTAAGGTATCTCCCTGACCCCCAACATCAAGATTATAAAATATATTTCCATCTACTATTTTATCCTTGACCATAATAATGCTCTATATGGAGAAATAAACCCCAAATACTAAAATAAATACAATTTTAAAATATGACTTAACTACAATAAATATCTGTTAAAAAAATAAAAAGCTTTTATGTTAAAAAATGTTTCACTGAACGTATCCCTAAAAATAAAGAGTAGCAGTTTCTTAACAATTCCTAACAATTCCTGGTTTTCCAACCTAGTTCTCAAGCATGCTTTCAAAATTTTCAAATTCTGAATACACAGGAGGAACAGATATGTAAAAATGATAGAAACGCACAATTCCCAAAACATGTAACAAAGTTATCTAAGATAGATTTAGATATCAATATTGATCCAAGGTAACTTTTTCTTTTACAAGGCTTATGTAGACAAAAATGATCTTTGAATTAGGAAAATCTGATTAAGTTTTAATATACCCATTTTTATCTACAATGACTTACCAACCTCCAAACTTCTCTGAAGCAGAAATGACCTGTCTCAGCAATCCCCCACTCCTTTTAAAATTTAAAATTTAAAATGTCAGGGAAAGTCCATTCTCTACTAGTATGCTAATTCCGGTGTATCAAATACTTCCGAACCCACCAGCTGAATATATGTTTAACAAGTAAACTATTCCCAAACCTATTTATGCCAATTTATTTGTTAAAACTAGTTACTGTGCATTTTAGTAAGCTACTCAAGAATAAGTCTCTCAACATTGTTCAAAGTGTGGTATGTTACATTACCCTTTAGTTGGACAAAATAAGACAAAATCTACTTTATGATTAAGTGTGGAAAACCTCATAACAATTATAGAATACTGTAAATACTATAGGGACAGTGAAAAACAGAATGGCTGCTGACTCTCACTATCACATGGCTTAGCATTAAGACAATGTATTGCTAGTCTAAGAAAGCATAAAAATTCAAAACTTAAAGTATAGTTTCTATAAGCACCTGTCATTTCAGCATCATTATAAAATCAAGAAACTGAAAATAAAGGGAGAGCACTAGGGTCAGGGGCATATGCAAATTATGAACCCGCTCAATCAGACCCTGGTTTGACTTCTGGCACAATATAGCTGGGTATAGCTCAATAAGCTCTCAAAAACTGCTGGATAGTCCTGGTGATCCCTGATACTGCAGCACTCAGGAAGCACAACATTCTCAGGTCCTCACATTTAACCACAGACAAGGCCTGGGACCCCCTGAAAACATTGGGATAGTCCTTCACCACAAAAAGAAACTACAAGTCAAACCATTGTTACATCAGGAATCATTTGTTTAGGAATTTATGCAAATTTTTAGGTAATGGTTGTCACTGAAACTCTATTTTATGTCATATCATCTACAAAATTAAAAGAAATGAGAATGATTTGTTTTTAAATAGTAGGCTCTGTCCCAGTTTTTGATTTAAAAAAAAAAAAAAAGGATCCCTCCTAGAATTTGTGGGGTCTGGAGAGTAATGTACATACTTAAGCTATGATTAGGAAAATTACGTTATTGACAAATGCTATAAGTTATCATTCCAGTTCATAACTTCAGGATGGTATTATTCTGAAAAAACATTCCCAACCCCGAGTGGCAAAGCCTAAACAGGTGATTTTATGTTCTTGATTAAAGAGGACCATGGATGTTAAGAAATGCAGTAAGAAATACAAAATTAAAATCTAGGAGAAAAAAAATTAAGGTGAAGTTGGCAAATAAGTATTTCTAAGTTAAAACTTTTATACTAGTATAAAAATATACTATTTTACTAGAGAACTTAACATCTTTTTCTGTTAATATCTTTATCCTTCTAGCATTTTTCTTCCCTGAAGTTCAATTTTAAGGGTATGTTATGCAAACAGTATCGATGCTATAGTACTTTATATTATATGTGTGTGTATGTGTATAGTATACTATAGGCAATATACTATACAAAGTATATGTCAATATATACTCTAAAATAAACTCTGTGGAAAAAAATTAGTATGATTTTTTAAATTTTTTAAAATTTTTTATCAAAGCAAGAATAATTTTTGAAAAATTGGCTTATCTCCTCAGTCATGGTCCAGAAAATTCTGAGAAGCTGTAGAAATATACAGGTGCACACTTGAGGTCCAGATTCATCTCCCAGAGTGTGGAAAAGGACTATACACCTTGGAGCAGAGCCCTGTGTGCCTTCTGGACAGTGCCCAGGGGGAGGGACCTCGTGGGGTACCCACATTGGAAAGAAAAAAAGCTTTATTTTGCTTACAAGTGTTATCCCAAATGCATAGAACAAATTCTTGGTGTATAGGTGATGCATAATAAATATCTGTTCAATGAAGAGAAATAAGAACTTACCGTGATGACAGCCTTGCTAAGACAGATGGAACCTCTACAGCCATACTCTGTCTCATCTTCAGATTTGTAGTAACTCAAAGTATTATTTTTCAAAACTACCCAACGATCCTGCCACCCATGAATGTAGTTTGTCCACTGGAGGTGAAAAAGAGACGGGAGAGAAAAGGGAAAAAGAAATCAGTATTTCAGAAATCCAAACTTTATAAAATGACAGTCTAATTTTAAAGCCAGAATGTTAAAAAAAAAAAAACTCTAACAACTATAAACATTAAAAATATAAAAACCAATAATCCGATGTTTTTCTAAATTATATAGTTATTTTCCATACTTTTTCAAAGGTGTAAGATAATAAAATACTATTTTCTTCTGACATCTGAATTTAGTTTAAAGCTCTCCTTCTTTTACCCTCCCCTGCTCACCACGCATGCCATTTTAAAAATTGTTTTAGTCCCTCCCTTATTTAACAGATTAAAATATGGTATTAGTTATATAGTTTCTCATTCGTCTATACCAAATACTGTACAAACACAATCATGGGCTGTATTGTACTTTCCCTAGTAGTTATTTTTATATGAAAATTTATGATGTTCACAACTACATCTAAGTAAAAATACTAGATGCATTTTTAGTGAGTACAGATGTACAAGGCAAAAAAATACTAGATTATCAATATTTATTTAGGTTTGTTTTTCATTTGTTTTAGGGTCACAATCAGCAGTGCTCAGGGAACCGAATGGGGTACCAGAGATCAAACCCAGTTGGTCAAGTGCAAGGCATATATTGATAATCAGTCCCTAGATCACCAACATTTAGGAAGTGTATGTCAATTTTTTATTTTCTCCATAGAATTCAATGTTACAAATTTGAAGTTAATCTTTCCAAGTTCCTCTAAAGATCAAACCTGACTTACTATACAAACATAAAACCGGTTTTAAAAAATGTATTTGGATGATGTTTCTATATCCATAAAATGTTTTTGAGTTACTCAAGCCTTTTTGCATACTAAAGATCAAAATCAATAAACCTGCAAAGGCAGAAATGTAACCTCGATGGGAGTTCTTGATTATGCTTATTTTTATGCTCTAGGAGTTTAAGTATCTGCCAAAAGCTAAATGGATTTTTAAAAATATACTGCTTTGGCTTGGTCTCTTTATCCATTGAGAAATCTTTCCTTTCCAAATCTCGAATTCAGCATGTTTGCAATGGTTCTGCTCTGAGACCCATCATTACAATCCCTCCCAGAGAGCTCTTCCTAATCATTATTTCCTTATTTCTAACTTCCCATGTCTTACCACCACAGAGACACAGATTTGAAATGATGATTATGTACAAAATGGAATGCACAGGTCTGAGGATGTACCTTACATACAGGACTTGCCTTACATATACGAGGTAGTCTAGATCCAATCTCTGGCATTATAAAAAAGAACAAATCCCAAAACCAGAAACTGAACTCACCTTCCCACTTGAATTATGCTGCTATTTCTGCAGTCATTTATACTCAAAACCTGGCAAAATTGTATTATATGAAGAGAAGAAAGATACAGGATCAGAGACTTCATTATCTCCAGTGATGTTTTGACTAGATATTTAGCTTTTCTGAATTTCAGCTTGCCGGTTATTTGAATGACTGAATACAACACAATTATGACTATGCCCTACCATACTCATACAAAATCCCCGATACCTTTCTGCTCCTTCAGTCTTTACAGATCACCACTTCTATTCATACTTCCTTATTATTTACTACTTAGGCATACTTGCTTATCTTGCATATTAATCTTATAGAATATCCAGCTCCAAAACCAACACGTACAACTTCATATTGTCTATACTGCAAACTGTTTAGACTGGCATGGCTTAATCCTACTTCGCTTCCAATTACCACCCTTCCAAAAGCTTGTGACCATGTGACTGTGGTCAAGTTACTTATCCATTCTGTGTTTGTTTCTTTGTCAAACTTTACCTCCTAGTCATTGAGATTAAACAAGGATAGCCTTAGAGCACTGCCAGGCACATATTATTTTCTAAGTTGGAGGCAGAATTACACATAGTAAATGAAGCTTAACCTTCTGCATAGTTCACTAGATAGAATGGACACCTTTCACAGTAACTGGAGGGAACACCAATAATTGTGTGCCCATGATTTTACATTATTTTCTAATAAAAAAAAAACCTAACAAATGATGACACCTTAGCACTGCACTGTAGCACTATCCTCCTGTTGTTCATCGATTTGCTCGAGTGGGCACCAGTAATGTCTCCATTGTGAGACTTGTTACTGTTTTTGGCATATCGAATACGTCAGGATTAGCTTGTCAGGCTTTGCCATGCGAGTGCTGTACTCTCTGTAGCTTGCCGGGCTCTTCAAGAGGGGCAGAGGAATCGAACCGGAGGGTCCGCCCAGGTCGGCTTCATGCAAGGCAGTGCAAGGCAAGTGCCCCACCTGCTGCACTATTGCTCCAGCCCGAGGACACCTTAAAATCTGTTAAGTCAAGTGGTTTTCAAGCGCAGATCCATGGACTGGTACCAGTCTGCAGATATAGCCAGGTTAAAAACAACTGGCCCATAGCTTGGTTTTAACTGCTGGACAACGGACAGGTGCTGATCCACAGATAAATAAGATTAAAGAACACAGCATTAGTCAATGCCAGCTACTATTATCACACCTGGAAAGCAGATGTTTGTTTTTCTCTACCTTCAGAAAGTTCCTTCATTTTTTCCCATTTAACAAATAGAGGAAAGGCAATACTTAAGACACTGTGAGAGTAATCAGAGTCCTACCCTAAGTCCAGCAAGCATAAACCCAAGGGGGTGGGGGGCGGGGAGGAAATACATTTGGGAAATGGGATTGCAAAGGATGTGTTTGGGAGGGGAAGCTTGAGACAATGGTGGAAGGAAGCAGACAGCTGGTAAAGGTTATAGTGTTGGAACATTGTATGAAATCATTAACAGTATAAGAAAGAAAGAGTGAGAGAGAGGAAGGGGGAGAGAGAGAAAGGAAGGAGGAAAGAGAGGGAGGGAGGGAGGGAGGAAGAGAGAGGAGGAGAGAGAGTGAGAGAGAGCGAGAGCGAGAGCGAGTCAGAAGCAAGATGAAAATAAAATGCAACTGAGAATTCAAGGGGAGGATCTAGAATGACTGGACAAATAAAAAGCTTCATGGAAAGAATAGTATTTGAGATGGATTCTAAAGATGGATAGAATTTCAGTCAACAGAACCAGAGAGATATGAAGGAGGCCTGGGTTCACTCTTTGGCACAAGGTCCCCTGGTCACTACCAGGAATAACCCCTAACCACTGCCAGGTGTGGCTCAAACACAAAAAATTTCACTCAACAGATATATATCAAGAAATAAAAGATAAAACAAACAGACATCAAGAAATAAAACCCGGCAGAGAGACAGTACAGCTGGAAAGGCACTTGCCTTGACAAGGCTGACCCAGGTTTGATCCCTGGCATCCTATATGGTCCCTAGAGCCCTGCCAGGAGTGATCCCTGAACACAGAGCCAGGAGTGAGCCCTGGGTGTGGTCCAAAAACAAACAAAAGAAAATACAAGAGAAAGTAAATCATAAAGGAATAGGAATGGGATGGAACTTTGAAAATGCTGGATGACTCATTTTACCTAGGCTTAGTTGCTCCCAAGTCATACCAAAACATCAATCTTGGGACCAGTAGGGTATGTGTCTTGCAGATGGCAGGCCTAGGTTTAATCCCCAGCATCCCATACGATCCCCTGAGCACTGCCAGGAGTAATTCCTGAGCACAGAATCAGGAGTAACTCTTGAGCACGACCAGGTGTGGCCTCTCTACCCCCTCCAAAACAAACAAACAAACAAAAAAACCCAACATGAATATTTACCTATTCATAATCCACCCTGATAACTGTTATAACCATCTAGAATTATGGTCTATCCAGTATTTTTAGAATATACATGTTGAAGAAGTGAGTCTATATAAAAAAGGTATATTTCCTTCACAGAATTTCCCTGTATTTTGAATTTCCACACAGAAAAAAATTCTACTGGAATGTTTTATTTCAAACACAATTTACCTCTCTTCCCATTCTAAATTCACTCCATTTTAGAGGGATAGAAACAAATTAGTATTGACTTATCTATATTATGTAATGAAGCAAAAGAATAGATATTGAGTTCTAAATCTTGCTTAAAATACCAGATGACTACATAGGGATATATACATATGTACATACAAATACATATATGCAAACATGCAAATTAAAATTTATGGGGCCAGACTGATAGTACATTGTGCAGGGCATTTGCCTTGCACGTGGCCTATCTGCATAAGATCCCTCGCACCCCATATTGTCCCCCAAGCCTTCCAGGAGAGATCCCTGAGCAGAGTCAGAAGTAAGCCCTAAGCACCTCAGAGTACGACCCCCAAAGCAAAAAATAATATCTAATTAAACATGATACTATATTTATTCAATATAGTATTCAATATGTGTTCACTATTGAATAAGCGTCCAGGAAACATGTATAACCACTGATAAATTTCTAGGAAATTTCCCTAACAGTTAATAAGAATACCCATATTTCTGTTGATTCTATGTATGCACCAACTTTCTAACTGTTTATATGCATTTAAATATCAAGAAGATTACTATTTTCTGTCAGACCTATTACAATTTCTACCATTACAAATACAGTGACTACTCAGAGCACTGGTGACAATCCACAAAACTCGCCAAAAAACTGATGACCAGTAGGTCAAAAAGTCCAGCTTGCCCTGTAAAATACTTAAGATCATTACACTACCAATTTGGAAATTCTTCTCATCTAATGAGAAAAGTGATTAAGCTCATCAGAATCACCAAGAAGAAAATTTCATAAAAATACACTTGAAAATGTATACTTATTA